GCTTTTCTGTGATTTGACTTTCTCATCTGTAAGCTGTGGATAATGGGAAATCCACCATATAGATGTACCTTAGACACTTCTCTACTGCTGTGATAAAAACACTCTGACCAAATCAACCTGAGGGGGAAGGGTTTATTTGGCTTTCATTTCCACATTATAGTCCATCATTGAGGGAAGTCAGGACCGGAACTCAAACAGGAAAGGAACCCAGAGGCAGGAGTCGATGCAGAGGCCATAGAGGAGTGCTGCTTGCTGGCTTGCTCACATGGCTTGCTCAGTCTGCTTTCTTATAGAACCCAGGGCCACTAGCCCAAGGATGGCATCACCCACAATGGGCTAGACCCTTCTCAACCCATTAGTCTACAGCTGGATTTTATGGAGGCATTTTCTCAATTGAGGTTCCGTCTTTTCAGATGACTCTAGCTTGTGTCAAAGTCACATAAAACCAGCCAGCACAATTGAGCCATTGTCAACTTGACACACAAACACATTACTGTTATAACATAGTCTTTCCTTTCTCGTTCATCTCCAAGATCACATATTATATCGACATCACAATATAAAACATCTTCAAACTTAAAAAAGAGTTCCACAAGTCTTATAAATTCAAACACTTTAAAAATCTACTCTTTTAAAATCCAAAGTCTCTCAACTGTGGGCTTCTATAAAATTATATATATAAAGTTAAATACTTTCTTATGTCAAAAGGAAATAACCAGGGCACAGTCACAATCTGAACAAAGTAAAACCAAATTTCAACTGTCTAAATACCTCAGTGTCCAACGTCTGGGGTCCTCCAAAGGGCTTGGGTCACTCCTCCAGTCCCACCCTCTGTAGCATGCACAGACTGTCTCCTAAGCACTGCAGGCTCCACTCCAGGGCAGCTGCTGTTCTTGACAATTGTCCCACAGCACCGGCATTTCCAAAATGCTAGGGTCCCCTGCTCCAGCTGGGCTGCACTCTTATCAGGAGCTTCTCCTGGGCTCTCTTCAGGGCCTCCAGTCCTGCTATCTGTGCCAAGCCTCCACTGCTCTCTATGACTCTTTTCAAATCTAACACCGCTTGGGTGACAACACTACCAAAGTCCGTTGTCAGCGCAAGGTGAAACCTTGGCCACCTCTGGAACTAATCTTCTGTGACTCTAAGGAAACACTTCACAAAAAATTTCACCTCAACAATGCTGGTCTCTTCTAATTTCTCAGTTCCAGACAACCAGCATCAATTGTCCCAGCAAAGCAAAGGTTCTACTTCAGTTGTCTTTTGTTTTTGTTTTGTTGTTGATGCTGTTGTGAACTTTTTCTTGATTCTTTGTGAACTTCACATCATGCACCCCAATCCCATTCATTTCCCTGTCCCTTTTTTATCCACCCTTTGCCCTTGCAACCTCGCCCTCAAAACAAAACATAAAAGAGAAAGAAAAAAGAAAAGAAAAAACAAAACAAACAAATGAAAAACATCTCGCTGTGAAAGCTACAGTATGTCTCAGAGTATATCCTTTGGTCCACACGTCTTTACATGCAAACGTTCATTGCAATGAGTCATTGGTCTGGTTGGAGGCCCGTGGCTTCTGCTACACTGTCAGTACTGGGTCCTTGTTGCTGCCCTGTATCAGAGAGGTCCTGTGGCTCTGTAGGACCAGCCCCTTCATGTGCTCTATCAGTTATAGACAGGGTAGATGTTGGGGTGGGCCAACTCCCAGCCCTGGATCTGGGCCTGGGTGGAAGCTGCGGTTGGTCAGCTCTCCCACACCCATACCACCAGGGCGAGCTCTCCAGCACTTCCTCAGCTAGCTCATACAAGTGCTGCAGCTGTCAAGGGCCAGGGACAGCTCTACTGTGCTGCCCAGGCGAGGTGCACGGCCCACTCTCCCAAGTGCTGCAACTGCGAGGTAGGGCCGCCATCTCTCCTGAATACCACAGCCAGTGAGGGCCAGCTCTGGACATCAACATGGTCTCAGAACATGGACCACAGACATCAGCACAGATCCCTGCTGTTTCAGGACCATGGACTCAGACATGGCCCCAGGGCAGCTCGGGGCAGGGCATCATTATGGCTTCAGGTGGTAGTGCAGGCTACTTACATCAGGCTGTTCCTCTACATCCTCGTATCTCCAGTTACACCTCTCTTCATAGTGCTCCCATCTTTCTCTCCCCTCTCCCCACCACATAGTGTTGCCTGTAGCAGGCAAGCTGAGTGTCTTCCACTCAGTTGTCTTTTGTTGATTGCTGCTGATTTGCCAGCCCCAGATGACTAGAACTATAGTCTTAATTCAAAAGAGCAAATGGCCCTGAAAGCATCTTCAGCTTTCCTCTGAACTTCACAAGGCAGGCCTTCATCATCTGCATTGTTGTAAACTATTATCTTCCACATTCCCACACAACAGCTCACCAGACTTTGAACACTCAATAACTTTTCCTGCCCAGAGTTCCAAAGTCATTCCACAATCCTCTAAAAATACATGTTTGTCACAGCAATCTCCCAGAATGTACCTTAGTTGCTCTTCTACTGCTCTGATGAAATACCATGACCAAAAGCAACTTGAGGAGAAAAGAGTGTAAGTGTTATAGTGCTGAGAAGAAAGATATCCTGGCAGTTGGGAGCCAAGGAATACCATAAAGTCACACTGCACAACAAACCTCACACAAGAGATTTATTGGGAAAAACACAAGACGGTGGCTGCCTCTGCTCAGGAGAGAAGCAGCAAAGAATGAGCAGGAGTAAGGCTTTACATAGGGTTCCTTGAGGGGTGGAGCTTCCCAGGAGGGCCTGGAATTAGTGGGATTTCAAGCTCAGGGACTGGTGGAATTTTGTGGCCTAAGCTTGTTTTTTGTTTTTTTTTTTTTTTTGTTGTTGTTGTTTGTTTGTTGTTTTGTTGTTTGATTTATCTTTCTCTGTAGGGTAGGGCTTGGACACCTGCACCTCTAGTGGCTGAAAACAGGCATTAAGGCCATTACAGTAGTCTGGGGGTAGGGTCTGGCCACATTCGTGCTTTGAGTTGCTTAAAAAGGATTTGGCTTCCTCTTCCATATCATCTTCCATCATTGAAGGAAGTCAGGGCTGGGATTCAAATAGGGCAGGAACCTGGAGGCAAAAGCTGATGCAGAGGCCATGGAGGGGTGCTGCTGACTGGCTTGCTCCTCATAGCTTGCTCAGCCTGCTTTCTCATAGAACCCAGGACCACCAGACCAGGGATGGCACCACCCACAATGGTCAGGGCACTCACCCATCAATCACTGATCACTAATTCAGAGAATGCTCTACAGCTGAATCTTATGGAGTCATTTTCTCAACTGAGGTTCCTTTTTTTTTTTTTTTTTCAGATGACTCTAGCTTGTGTCAAGTTGACATAAAACATAAAACCACTCAGCACAAGATGGATGCAAGAGACAATTGGACTGCCTAGAGGGGTGTTTGGCACAAAGCAAGCACTAGATAAGAAGGAGAACAGAAAACATAAACAAACTGGGTGTGATAGTGCACACCTGTAATCTCAGAACTTGGGAAGCTGAGACATGAGTTCCAGGCCAGCCTGGGCTGTACAATGAACCCCTGTAGAAAGGAGGGGGGAAATGAAAAAGTGAAAAAACAAGGAGAAGGAGAAAGGGAGGAAGGGAAGGAAGGAAGAAAAAAAATAGTTTCAAAGAAAATGGTCAGTGCAAACGTTTCATGACTTCAGAACTGCCCCTGACAGCTGGAAAATCTCCAAGCTTATATATCAGGCTTCTGGTTGTCACTAGTCCATATGCCCTGTGTTTTTAAAAGACAAATAAAGACTGATGCTAAACTATCCAAATCGGGAAGTTGTAGCACCTTTACCTCCTGGGGTCTCCCAGTGGCTGGAAGTACAAGGCCTCTTAGACTGAGCCCTGAGGAGCTGATTGGCATCTGTGGAATTCTAGCCAAGTTACATAACTCTCTGTGCCTGAGTTTACTCATCAGTGAGAGAGAAGGTGCTAGACACATGCCTGCTTGTCTCCCTTTGCCGTCTCCCTGGGTTTCCTGTCATCACTAATGAGAACTGGGGAGAAATTTGAGTTTAAAAAAAAAAACAGAGAAGTGGTGCTTGTTTCCTATTCATGAGAGCCTTGGGCAGTACTTGCCTTAGCCCAGCCTCCCCTGCGACACTGCACACTGCCCTATTGGGCAAGCCCTTTGCACTTCAGCTTTGACACTGTAACTCCTGGGCTCTCTTTGTCTCTTTGGCATGTTGCTAACATCATGGCTGTACGGGTTGTCTCGCTGTCTTCTAGTCAGTTATAACCCTTCAACTGCACGCATCAAATTCCTGTTCTGCTATTTAAGATACCTTCTTAATACCTTAATACCTTCTTGGTCTTCTCTCTCTCTCTCTCTCTCGCTCTCTCTCACTCTGTGTATGTGTAATTATCTTTACATATATATATATATATAACCTCAAATGTGAAAGAACTGGGATTGGTGGTCACACCTATAATCTTGGCTCTTGGGAGGTAGAGGCAGAGATATGGAGTCAAAGACCAACCTCAGCTATATAGTAGATTCAAGGTTAGCCTGGATTACATAGAATAAATAAATACTCTGAAATGTGTAGATGCAGGTGAAACCCAAAGCACAGCCTCATATAGTCTAGAAGAAATTCTAGAGACACCAATGAGAACAAACAGGAAAAAAAAAAAAAATATATATATATATATATACACACACACCTTCTCTGTCTTAAAAAGGAACTAGCAAGGGACATACTAGCAACATTACAAATGCACAAACGGAAGCCAGCCCACTCCATTCAATACTTGAGAAGCAACTGCAACTCTCGTGCTCAACCCCAGCAGCAAAGGCCAAATGAGAACCTGGACGTTTCCCCCTTACCAGAATGTGGAAGGTACCTAACCCACCTCCACATAGGACTTAGTGAGGATCATGTCACCCATCCTAGGCTGCAGGTGATGATGATGTCTCCTCATGGCTGCTGAGGGGTGCTGGAGGAGCTGGCCCGCTAGCTTAAGCTGCTGTTGTATATTCGAGGACCTGACTTCAGATTCCCAGACGCAGGAATGGCCAACCACAGCTGCAACCACAGTGCTGTGCTGGGATAAGAAAAAAGACAATTGTTGGTGCTTCCTGGCTGGCTAAAAATCAGTGAGCTCCAGGTTTATCTAGAGAACCTATGTTGTAGTTTGCTCCTCCCCTGCTGTGATAAAACACTGCTTGAAAGCAAGTTAGGGAACGAAAGGGTTTATTTGGCTTTCAGTCCATTATCAAGAGAAGCTGGGTCAGGACAGGGAGGCAGGAGCTGAAGCAGAGATCACAGAACATGGCTTACTGCTTTCTTACAGACTCACATTCAGCCGCCCTACTTACACAGCCCAGACCCACCTGCTTAGGAGTAGCACTGCTCACAATAGACTGGCTGCCCTTAGCCAATTAGCCACCAAGGAAATTGCCCCATGGACATGCCCAGAGGTCAATCTAAGAGGCAACTTTTCAGCCAAGGGTTCCTTTGTCCAGGTGTGTTACACTGACAACTGAAGCTAACTATGACACTCTGTGTCGAATGAACGTGGCAGCATGAAAGAGGGCACCCTACATCTTCTAAACCTAGCGCACTCACGTATTAGCACATGCGCCTGACACACATGTTCACACAAAACTGCACACACTCCCTCACGCACACAAATGCATTTTTAAGTCAGCCATCATAAAATGATTCAATGGACAGTTTCATGCGCACTTGAAACACAAGAACTAGAAAGTCATATTAAAGAAATAAAGTCGCTAGGCGGTGATGGTTCACACCTTTAATCCCAGCACGTGAGAGGTAGAGGCAGGCAGAGCTCTGTGAGTTCAAGGCTAGCCTGATCTACAGAGTGACTTCTAGGACAACCAGGGATTCAAAGAGAAACCCTGTTAAAAAACAAAAACAGAGAAAGGAAGGAAGGAAGGAAGGAAGGAAGGAAGGAAGGAAGGAAGGAAGGAAGGAAGGAAGAGAAAAATATATAAAGAAAAATTATAAGAAATTTTTAGTTTAAAAATCAGCTTATGTTGGTGTACAACTATAGTCCTAGCACTTGAAGGCATAAAACAGGAGAATAGTGAAACTGATGTTAGTATGTGCCAAGCCACCCTGGAATACACACTGAAATCCTGTCTTAATTGCCCTCACATATCTAAAATCAAACAAATAAACAACCAAAAGAAAAAAAAAAAAAAAACATCTCACCAGGAGTGGTGGCACATAACTAATCCCAGCACTTGAGGCAGAGACAGGTGGATCTCTGTGAGTTCAAAGCCAGCCTGGTCGACAAAACAAGTCTAGGATAGCCAAGGCTACACAGAGAAACCCTGTCTTGGAAAAAAAAAATTCAGAGGATGGTATCATGGTTTGTTCTCTGTTACTGTGATAAAACACTGCCCAAAAGCAAACTTAGGGAGGAAAGGGCTTGTTTGGCTTATGCTTCCAGATCATGTTCTGCTATTGAGAAAAGCCCAGGCAGGAACTGAGGCAGAGACCATGAGGGAACATGGTTTAAGGGCCTGTGTTCCTCCTCGCTCATGCAGGTTACATTTTTTTATACAACCCAGAGGTGGCACTGCTGGGCCCTCCCACCTCAATAATAATAATAATAATAATAATAATAATAATAATAATAATAACCCCGTAGTTTGCCTACAGGTCTACCTGATGAAGGTATTTTCTCAAGTGAGGTTCCCTCTCCCCAGATGACTTCAGCATAAATCAAGCTGACCCCAAAACTAACCAATACAGATGGTATCAACAATAAGATGGAGAAGGAAGACTCAAGAACTAAGTATCTAATGTCATTTATGTAGATTAGAAAGATAATTTGCAGTGATGCCATATTTCTCAACAAAACCCAGAAAGAAGGAGAACAGGTCCCAAAAGCTGAATAAAATTAATTAACTAATTGATTAATTAAATGATTAGCCTCCCCAGAAATTCCATACATAGCAAAAATATTCTGCAAGAATAAAGAGGAAATTAAGATGTTTACCAACGAAGGAAAATTAAGGGAATTTGTCACCAGCAAACATGTACTAAAATAATGGTTAAAGAACTTTATCTAAACAAAAAGATAAAGATTATAGAAAAAAAATCTAGGCTGGGAAGATGGCTCAGTGGTTAAGAGCACTAGGTGTCTTCCAGAGAACCCAAGTTTGGTTCCCAGCACCCACATGGTGGCTTACAACCATCTAGTACTGCAGTTCTAGGACATCTGACTTAGGGGTTGGTTTGGTGCTATGTATTCTAATGCTGAATACTGGCTCCTGAGAGAGTTCATTGCAGCTGAGACATGTACACCCCACGCTGGTCTTTGCTGTGTAAACCTTGCTCTACCTAATTTAAAGTTAATTGATTAATAAAGTTGCTGAAACCTGTAACTGGGCATAAGAAAAGTAGGCAGAGCTTACGTTCCTGGGCTTGAGGTCAGAGAAGGACCACGAGGCCAGGAAGAGAGAAAGGAGGCAGAAAATGTAGAAGCAAGAGAGGAAGCAGGAGAGAAGAAAGTAGTTAGGGGGCAGTAGGAACGATGAGCTCATGGCCGTGAGGTCTGGCCTGGTGGAATGGAAGCAGTCCAGGCAGAAACAAATGTGGCAAGTAATTTGGGGTGTGTAGTTGGGAAACAATAAAACAGCAGAGAGAGATGATACCTGACCAGTTACGGTGCCTTAAAGCTCTTATTAACCTTAAAGAGAGCACAGAGCACTGTCTTGATTATTAGGGAAGTAGCTGGGGTAGAGAAGCCCTAGAAAGTCTAATATGCTATTCTACAACATCTGATGCTCCTTTCTGATCTCAATGGGCATTATGAATGCAGGTAAGAAAACAAAACAAAACTTATACACATAAAATAAGTAAACTTAAAAAACAATTTTTACTCAAGTGACAACACATGCTGGAGAGGTTGTGGAGAAAAGGGAACCCTCCTCCATTGCTGGTGGGAATGCAAACTTGTACAACCACTTTGGAAATCAGTCTGGCGCTTTCTCAGACAATTAAGAATGGTGCTTCCTCAAGATCCAGCCATACCACTCCTAGACATATATCCAAAAGAGGCCCAAGTACACAACAAGGACATTTGCTCAACCATGTTTGTAGCAGCTAATTCGTAATAGCCAAAACCTGGAAACAACCCAGATGTCCCTCAGTTGAGGAACGGATACAGAAATTGTGGTACTTTTGCACAATGGAATACTACTCAGCAATTAAAAACGAGGAAATCATGAAATTTGCAGGCAAATGGTGGGACCTAGAAACGATCATCCTGAGTGAGGTATCCCAAAAGCAGAAAGACACACATGGTATATCCTCACTTATATAGACCTATAAGATAGGATAAATATACTGAAATCTATCCACCTAAAGAAGATAAACAAGAAAGAGGACCCAGGGTACGATGATCAATCCTCACTTAGAAAGACAAATGGGATGGACATTGGATGTAGGAGCAAACAAGTAACAGGACAGGAGCCTACCACGGAGGGCCTCTGAAAGACTCTACTTAGCAGTGTATCAAAGCAGATATTAAGACTCCTAACCAAACCTCCGGCAGAATGCAGGGAATCAAAAAAGGGGGGGGGTGTTAATACAACCTGGAGACGACAGGAGTTCCACAATGACCAAATATATCTGGGCACAGGGGTCTTTTATGAGACTGTTTCTCTAAACAAGGACCATGTATTGATGCAACCTAGAGCCCCTGCTCAGGTGTAGTCCTTGGTAGCTCAGTATCCAAGTGGGTACTCTAATAAGGGGTACAGGGACTGTTTCTGACATGAACTCAATGGCGGGTTATTTGACACCCCTTCCCCCCAGGGAGGAGCAGCCTTGCTAGGTCACAGAGGAGGACTTTGCAGCCAGTCCTGAAGATACCTGATAAACCAGTATCAGATGTAAGGGGAGGAGGTTCTCCCTTATCAGTGGACCTGGAAAGGGGCAGGGAAGGAGGGAGGGTGGTGGGATTGGGAGGGGAAGAGGGAGCAGGATACAGCTGGGATACAAAGTTAACAAACTGTAACTAATATTAAAAAAAAAAAAACTAAAAAAAAAATAATTTTTAAAAAAGAAAGAAACCTTAAAATGTAAGAAGAAAATGACAAAAAATATTTAAAAAATACTATATTCTTTTAAGTTTTTAAAATTATGTCTGACAGCTGAAACAAAATGATACTGCTATGCTGGAGCATAGACGTCGTCAACCTTTTTACTCATCAGTAAACCCTACAAGCTGCACTACCAGCTGCCATGCAAACTGTGCCCTCTGATACAGTAGTGCCATGGCTGCTATGGAGGCAACCAACCACCTCGGGTGGCGTGTGAGCCCTGTCCCACAGGAAGGCGTTCACTCCTAGTCCTGGAAACTGATCAAAAGGAAAAACAGTTAAAGAAGCTGTAGGTCTTCGAGGGGAACGCACTGCTGCCATTTTGCTAGATGGGCATGTTTCTGTTTGTTGTTCGACAGGGTCTTACTATGTAGACCATGCTTGGAACTCACTACGTAAACAAGCTGATCTCAAACTCAGAACAATCCACTTGCCTCCCAAAGTGCCAGGATTAAAAGCATGTGCCACCACACTCGGTGCTTAAATAGACACACTTTGTTTATCTATTTGTCGTCCAAATATTTATTTTTGTGCCTACATTTTAGTGGTGTTGTCAGTTTTGGTCAGCTTCTTGCACTGGGGGATGGTTACTAAAGAGACTCAGAGAATAAGCGGCTGTTAAGTAACCAGCCCTAAATCTATATCATCCCCTTTCATGGCTGAGGGAACATGGTGGAAGAGAAAATGGAAAGAACTGAAGAGTCACAGGAAAAATTGGAGCTTTATGAAGTAATATAACACTTCCAGGAATACTATGGTTCTTTCAGCCATGAACTCACAGCATCTGTGGTTACCTGTGCAAGACCTGCACAAGAGTGGGCCAACTAACATTTCATCATTGTCTTAGCTAGGGTTCTATTGCCGTGAAGAGACACCAGGAGCACGGCAACTCTTATGAAGAGAAACATTTCATTGGGTTTGGATTACAGGTTCACAGGTTTAGTCTATTGTCATCATGCCAAGG